TAATAAAAAATGTTTCTGAAGACAATCACCTATTGCACCTTTAAGTCAGTATAAAACAGGGGTTTTCAGTCATTTAAGATGCTACAGATCCTCAAATATGATCATCCTCGTATAAAGGGCCTCTTCCAAAAATTTAGAGGGCAGCTATCAGAGCTGGGTAGTAACTGATTACATGTAACCCAGATTACATAATCAGATTCCAAAAATGAAGTACTACTAATTAGATTAAATTACATTTTAAAATACTCGGAATCAGAATACAGTTACTTTTTTATTAATTACATGATTACATATTCACACAATAGCAATAAATTATTCATCATTTCTTGATTCCTCTTTTTCATCTTTTAAATGTTCCTTTCTAAAACTGCCTACCGCTCGGAAAGTCTTCCTGTATTGTGGACATTCACACAAAGACCAGTCAAGGTGGCTACACAGCATTTGACCACTGGATTTACAAAAATCATTTCAGGTTTAAGAAGTGTTTCAACATTGCATCAACTGAACAAATTGATTTTTATTCAAATTATCACTCAGTAGGTTATTTAATTATGTATTATTATGTCTTTGGAAGTTTTGTGTGTGTGTGTGTGTGTGTGTGTGTTTCAAACACATTAAAATGCACAAATTCACATTATTTTTTTTTTTTTTTTTTTTTTAAGTACCCCTGAGATTTTAAAATAAATATTTTTATATTTTCACGGTTGTTGGTTAATGGTCAAATGACATGCGGTAAACAAATAACAATTTGATTCTGTAGTAAGTGTTGGTTGATGGTATTTTTAAACTATTTATTTTAATTTGGCATTTTTTATGATTTAATTAATTTATTAGCTTTTCATTAAACTCACAAACTCCCTGCAGTTCTTTTACGAACTCCAGTTTGGGAAACCTTGATTTAATTATTTTCTTACTCTTTGTATTTTTATATCAATATGGTACAAGATTATCCTAATCTTTAAATCAAACGAGTTAGGTCAAAGGTACTCTAAAAGTAATCTAAAGTAGTGTAATGTAATGGATTATGTTACTAACTACAATTTTTGTCATGTAATTTGTAATCCGTAACGGACTACAATTTGTAGTAGTCTACCCAACTCTGGCAGCTATATATTTTCACGTACAAACACCCCATTTATACTGTAAAAAAATAATATCATAAATGTGTAAAATAATGTATGGAAAGCATTTAGTTTCTATTACGTTACATTATTACCTTTTACTACTCACAATAATTCTGTTAGTTGTATTATCTATTTATTTGTTAAAAAAAAAAAACTGCTCTAAAATGTCTTATTGTATTACACATAATTTACCACTAGATGGAGGTATTTACATAAAATGGTATTTGCATAGAACATTATTCCCTAATTGTGACCTAATTACTTGTTTATTTGTTATCCCTCTTTTCTCAATTAGACAGCACAAAGATGAAATCTCAGGTGACATACTAGACATGCTACTCACTTTCACTGACTTTATGGCCTTTAAAGAGATGTTCATTGATTACAGAGCAGTAAGTAAAACATTTTTCTTTTTGTACTACAAAATATAGGATTCATAATGTAAAATAATGTGTATTTGGATTGTGTTACAGTTCAGAGGAAAGCTGTTCTGCCCAGCTCAAATGTAATTCTTGGCTATAATAAAAGAACTGAAACGTCATCACCTACTAAGATAAAACTTTGGCCTAATTTTCTACTATCATGAACAGAAGCTATAAACCTGCCATAGTCTGTGGGAGAAACTCATTTGCCCATTCTTCTTTTTATAGGAAAAGGAGGGTAGAGGATTGGACCTTAGTACCGGACTGGTGGTGAAGTCTTTAAATTCTGCTTCTGCTTCAACTCTGACCTCCAGCATGGCCTCACAATCGAACTGAACCAATGGGCATTTCATGTAAATGATCAGTCAACACATGATTATTCCCATGTATATTTAGATGAATATTTATTGAAAATTCCTTTCTGACTCATCCCAAAACAAACAGACACTGTTATACTAACTTGACAGAAGGGAATCGGTGTTTAATTTAGGTTAATGTTTAAACGTAACATTCAGGTTAACTGTCAGGTATGACTCCTCTTTAGCAGTATTCATATGATCTGTCTCAAAATCCAGACTCCGTGTGGATCAGTCTTTCATATCTTGTTGGCCTACAGCGCAGCAAAACACTATTGCTGTTTCTGACCAAACTGATGTAGAAAACTGTAATGAGCATGCGAGTATCTCAAAGCTGCCACTTTATTGCACTTTTTTATAGAACCCCTTCATTTTAATGGTTAAATCCTTATACACCATAATGTACCAAAATAATTCCTTTCACTTGACAATCATAAAGGGCTTTTCATTACAAAAGTATTATACAATGTGCATATGACAACAGTTCTAAAAGACCCGTTTTTCATTTACAAGACTTGCAGTTTCCCCAGGTGAAATATTACAGAATAAACTTAAAAAAGGTGTTTATTCAGTTACCAGAAACAATGCAAATAATCTAATTTAGTTTTTCATGCTTTTTAATGTGATGTTGAGTCCATGTTTTGGATGGCTCTCATATCTTCAGTGACGATGAGAAGGAAAGAGTCAAAAGAGCTTTTCAAAACTAACAATACTTAGTTTTGTTGATGTATACATTACAAATTTCAGGCGTTTTACTCCTTTCTTAGAAGAATGTGTTGTTCTTACTAGATTAATGTTGCGTAATTGTGTGTATTTGTTTATTATTTGTATATATAGACACATTTGAGCTTGTGTGTGAAAGAAATAAATACAATGGTTCTTTAATTATATTTTATCAAACCATGTTTATGCTCAAAACAATTAATCAATTACATTCTTAAGCATAACTTCACAATAATTCAAGAACCTCACCACTTAAATACATATTTAAGTCATTTAGTGTATCTTAAAAAAAAATAGTACACTACTGTTTAAAAGTTGGGGCTCTTAAGATTCTTGTATGTTTTTGCTTTTTTGTATCTCTTTAAATGCTCACTAAGGCTGCATTTATTTGATCAAAAAGTACAATATAATATATATTTTGTATATATTTAATATTGTATATAAAAATATATTATACAAATATTGGGAAATGTTATTACAATTTAAAATAGTGTTTCTACATTGTAAAATGTAATTTATTCCTGTAAGGGTAGGGT